GAGTGACCAGCCAGAGCATACTCAGCCTAATAACTAAATCCTGTCACTAAACCTATTAATTCTGTCTTTGAGAGTCCTGACTACAAGGAATACTGAAAAATCTGGCAAGAGAATAAGAATACTGCTGACATAAAAACTTGAGTGAATCACCTCAGTTGCTCTCCATATATTTTGAGAAAGCAGTCACTGCAACTGTGATGCTGAACTGGAAAACCTACTTTTATGCCTGACCAACTGACAAGAAGAAAAATAACTTTTATACATATGTTGGTTTCCCAAATGGTGACTTGGGTTTGTTTAGATAAATACTTCTGAGAAAATACAAACCTTAGTTAAAATCCTCTGAATGATTAAAATGTGTGATACGTATTTCTGTTTCAATAACAAGTTTAGTCTTATTTATCTAGAAGGTGTATATTAAATCAAGATGTAATGAAAAACACTGAGGTGGGAGAAACTAATTACACTAATCCTACTCATCATTGGTATATGAGTAATGTGCCCAACCATTTAATAGTGCCATCATCATCATCCAGGTGGAAACCCAGAAGCCTGCCATTGAAATAAATCAGAGGGCACGCAACAATCATATATGACAGTCTTGAAATAGACCACAGCTCATTGCAGGTCATTAGAAAACCCCGGTTTAAAAAGACTGGCCACACAGTTGCCCTGTCCTTTTTGAAACCAGTTCAGAGATGACCAGAGGTGTCTTGGCAGATCAAAACCTGGTGGACAAATGGTTTGGTCAGCGACTACACAGTGATTAACAACTGTTGTCACTGACCACTCATTGCACAAGCAGATTCCATCATGTCTTTTGAAGGTATAAATCACTATAAAGGGCATCTAAAAGACAGGCAAGCTGATGATGAGTGATTGAAGAAGACTGTGTATAAGGTTATGTTGCTATTCTTACAGGTCTTAGCCAGCAACCCCATGACAGAGGCCTTTTCATCGTGCATATGGGGCAGTAGTATGCACAAGAGTTGCCTGTATGCACAAGAGTTGCCTGTAAAGTCCCAATAACAAAATAAACAGCTTTGTTAAGCTCTACTTTGATCAGCCTGACAGGAAATGAGTGACCCTAAACAGGAGCTCAGTACTGTGCTATTGAATAGTATGGCAATGGCTGATGGTCTAAGCAGATTGTTGAGTGCTGATTTTGACTGCTGTCTTCCTCAAGTGGTTGTAGTATGATACATTAATGACATATTCAGTGTCACACTGTGGTAAAATGGGTTTGGATTATGCTGCAGTGTGATGGGGTGCAATTCTCCATTGTGGTATCCCCTGCTGGATGTCCCAGGGATCAACTCTGCTAGCTGGTGGACCCTTTTCTGGTGGCATCTCGCCATTGTTACTTCTGCTCCAGTGACCCATAATACTCCCAGGACCGCAGCATCATGACGCAGCTGTGCTGTACTCCATGCTCTCCTGTTCCAGGGGACCTGCAGTCAGCTGTGCAGCCAGTTCCCTCAGTGGCAACTGCAAACCAATGTCTGGTCACTGCCTTAGTGGTGAGAGCAGGGGACCCAGGCCTGCCAACTACACTGGGTTGGTCCTGCCATCTACTGTAGATGACTGCCACATGTTGCCTATCCTCCAACTCCTCAGTAGATTTCCCTGAACCCCTTCCCCGCAGCCCACCCACTCTCTTTATCCTTGTTTCTCGAGCAATGTTCCCTCCAGTCTTTCCCATCTATGTACAGAATATATCATGTGCACCAAAGCATGTTTGAATGTGCAGCACCAGTAAAAACAAAACCTAGTTGTGGGCACTCTGCTAATCAGATGGCTGGCATCTGAATCTCGAGTGAACACACAAATGAACAGCTTACAGGGAACGATGCTCTGGACCTCAGCCTGCAGATCCTGAAGCTCACCAGGAGCTATTGTTAGCTCATTGGGTCTCTACCTGCAGCACTGCTCTGTCCAGGGTACTTCCTAGTTTTAGCCTGCAAGGTAGCCAGTCCTCTCTCTCCAAGCTCCAAGGAGTGATGACTGAAGCTGCTCTACAGCCCTTCTTATATAGGTCAGCCTGGCCCTGATTGGTTGATCCTTGTAAACCCTCTCTGATCGGTTGTTTCTTAGATTCCTAAGACCTCTATTAACCCTTTGGTGCCTATGATGAATAGGAGGGGTAAAACCCTTTTCTGGACATGCCAGCCATTGTTAACTAATTTGTCTGTAAGGGTTAAATCCTAGAGCCTCAGGAATGATAGGGAAGCAGGTACAAAAAAGAGTCGGCAGGAATCTAGGAGAGCCACTGAAAACAGTGTGAGTTTTTTAATTGGAAGCAGTGATGTTCCTGAGCCAGTCTTTGTGTGACCATAGGAAAGCCTGGGAAACATGAATTGAGCCAAGGATCAGAGCATGGAGTATCCAGCAACATCCATGCCTTGGCGAGGGCTAAATCTTGGAACAAGAGGTATGTGAGTAGAACATGAAATGTTTAATAAGACACCATCAGGTTATGTTATTTTTAAGTTTGCTGTACTTCTCTGTGCTGACCGCATAACTACCACCTTTATATTGTAACTTTCCAAACTGAATCCCAGAGAAACAATTCTGTGTTTAATCTCTTTTTTTTAGTTGCTCTGCAACACTTAGCAACCAAGTAACATTTTACCAAGTATGTTTGGTTTCTTTATTTTGTTAATGAAAATCACCTGGTTCCTGTGTCCTAGAAGGCAGGCGGTTTTGTGTGCACATCTTAAGACTGCTAAGCCAGTTATTAAGAAAAATTACAGTTTTTTTCAAGTTCCTCCAGAGGGACCATCAAAGAGCTTGAGAGCACACCACAGGAAGAAATTCCCAAATGCTTTTTCTCTGGGGTTTTGCATTTAGGTGCTGGCAGCGATACCAATCCCAGGCAAGGGAATCGGTCACCTCGGGGAGTTTTTAACATAAGCCTTTAGTGGCAGGATATTTTAAAGTCTTGTGTGCCCCCAATTCTGCGCTCAAAGTACCAGAGTAAGGAACAGCCTTCACAAAATCCAGGCTATATCCAGACCAGTGTTTTTTAAACTATGTTCCACAGAACAGTGGTATTCTGTGAACAACTTGCAGGTGTGCCACAACCTCTTCTTTGTTTTTGTCTTTTTTTGTCTGACAATTTTTTTTGAAGAAACTTTTCATAGGTGTTCCACATAAAAAAATATTGTTTGGTGTTCCGTGGTCTCTCAAAGTTTAAGAAACACTGGTCTAGACTACAGGGGTTTTTCAGGATACCAGAGATATCCCAGAAAAACTTATCAGGGCTAGGTTGACTCACATAAGGAGGGCTGCAATTTGCATACCTTTTTCCAATAACAAAGCGGTAGGGTAGTATGGGACAGGCACCCCACCACATGCAAGTGTTGGCCACTGAGAAAAACATTTAACTCATGACTTGCATATGGAATAAACTTGAAATGGTCTTAGAAAAGCTCAGTTGCAGGCACCATTGATTACAATAGTCTGCCCTGAACTACATAAGTTCCAGAAGAACTGAGCTTGGTAGTTGCAGCGGATTTCATTGGCATAGATAAATCTGCATAAGAGTGTAGCTGGCTGATTGCTGAAGTACACATTGAACAGTTGGTGAAAGAACTAAGCCTTGAGGAAGCCATGGATCTAACACTTCCAGGAACTACAGCAGTTGTCCATGTGTACTCTAAATTGCCCATTTGGAGAAAGATCTGTATTACTTTAACCTCCCAATGTGGAGCAATTCGAGAGTTTAAACAGAAGGCCTCTGTACCAAACTATCATAGGCAGCAGTCAAATCCAAGAAGATAGCTTCCATCTTTAGATTTTGCTGAAAACTATCTTTTAAAAAGGTGGTGGTGGACTTAATCACAGGTGCTGCATCCTTTTCTAAACCCTGCCTGCTCAACTTACAAGACATTGTCCAAATCCAGAGCAATTTGTTGGAGGATCAAATGCTCAAACACCTTGAAACACACTGACAACAAGGACTGGGCTGTAACTCGATGTGCAGAAGGAGTCCTTGCCTAACTAAGCCTACTACTATTTGTAATAGTAACTTTTTCTATATCGAAGGAAAACTACCTATGAGGAACCCATAGTGTTAAGCCTAGAAGTCACATATATGTTATGATCAAGACAACTGACAACTTCTTAGACAAAAAGCAGCAGCAACTTTGATTTGGCTTGTAAATTACAGATTTTACTAAAATATAAACCTTTAGTCAAAGTGACTTAAAAGCCTACAATCACTGGTGAACATCCACTGAAATTTACATAGCTTCATAATAAATCTGCATATTATATTTTGGTTTTAATGTGTGATAGCTTTCTGTGATTTAAGTGGAAAAGCTTGGGTATGAATATTACCTAGGCAAGGTAATTTTGAACTGAATTAACAGTCTTTGACAATTATGTAATTAACCTAAATTTCTAAATTCTACTCTAGAACTGTTTGGATGAACAGACATGAGCAGTTACATAATTCCAGAGATTCTTATTTTCAATCAAGTTTATGTTTTTAAGGATCCATAAGTCCAAACTGATAGCAAAGTCACTCATCAAAACTAGCACAGAACTAGGTTAAAAGTTTGCCTTTGTAACAAGATTATGATAAGGACTTTGAATTAACTGATTTATTATCTCTTCAAATTAGTAATATTCCATGTTGTGGTCAGTTTTTGACATTCCGAACATCTAACCATCTTTTGCTTTCTGCAATTTTGTATCTATTTTAAAGCTATTTTGGCTACAACTCATAAAATTACAATCATTTCTTGCTTGTTAAGCAAGGAGCACAGATCCAAAGAACGGTAAGAAACCTAATAGAGGTAAATGGTTAATTAAATAAGAAGTTATAAATGTATTTTATAATCTTTTACATTTTACTTCCTTTTTCCCAGATATTTGAATGACAAAATTCTTTGCTAAAAAATTGACTCCTATTTCTCTATAATGCGTAGAGATGAGCAAGCTAATTGTAATACAATACATACTAGACACTACAAAAATACTTCAAGTAACATTACCTAATGATAATTTTGCAATTTCTTCAGAATCATCAATTCTCTCAGTATCTTCAGTGGATTCCTTAACTTTTGCTTCTCTTGAATATCCATGACAGCTGTATGTAATATCTGACGAATTCAATTTATCATGCGTCTTAAAATTAAAAAAAAAGTTGGTTACATTTTTTAATGTACCTTAAGCCTTAAAAATATCAAACTAGAAAAAAATAGTAATGGCTGGATTGTCAGAGATGGTTATGAACCTTTTGATGAGTTATTAATGTTACCATGCCTATTTGCTATACAATGGAGATAAAAAAGAAGAAAATGCTTTACTTATTACTAACAGGGAACTCTCCTTCTGACTTACCTCTATAAATTTAAAGACTTGAGTTTAGTTCAAAAAATGCTTCCTAACCACAACCACTGAAATTTAGAATTTTAGGTAGGTTAGTGTTTGCTTCCATGCTCTATAAAGAGATTTGATGCCATACATCATGCGTGATTATGTAGGCAGATTTCGGCAGATTTATCATCAGTATATCAGAGAAATATGAACATGAATCAGGAGATAGGGACATGTGACCGAATCTGTAGAAAAGACACCACGATAGCAGAACTTTAGTTAATGGAATGGAAAATCTGTTATCCAATTATCTTCTTTCTGGGAATAATTTCTTCTCCATTCTGAGACATTTGGGCTTGTTTCCCCACAGGCCATGTCTCCACTTCCTGGAGGACTGGCGCTTGATCTTCCAGGGTTTGATTTAGCAGATATCCACTAGATCTGATAAATCAAATGTTGAGTGCGCCCATCAGCACCAGTACACCTCGATGTCACAAGAAGTGAGAGAAGTCAACAGGAGATTTCTCCTGTCTACCTCCCGCAGTGGAGATGGTGCCAAGTTCAGTTTAAGGTATGTCGACTCTAGATACTTTATTTATATAGCTGTAATTGCATACATTAA